AGTGATAAATCATCATTTTAAATAGTAGACTTAGTCTCTTGAGCCTTTACAAACTGGATCCAACATTAGAAGTGGAATCCAATTGGATTTATCTAGCATTTTGACAATGTGATCACTCCTCGGCACTTTTAAATGTCAATCTTTCTCTTCTTTATTGTTTCATAATATTATTGGCCTGCGTCCATATACCGTCAACCCCCTTTCATGGCCGTCTTGACTGAGTGATAATACAAATAAAGAAACTTGTTATTCACAAGCCCTGGTGATATCAGGGTCTTCTTCCATTTTACCTCCTTTCCCGTCTCTTTTCTCTCTTTGTTTACGTAGCTCTCTCTCCCTCTCTCTCTTGTTTCTTCTTTCGGCACCCAGCTAGCCTCTTGACGATGGCATTGGCGCTGATGTCGACTACGGACTCCAACAGCGCCAGGGCCATCGACAAGAGGCTAGCACTCAACTGGATCCGCCTCTGTATATTGGCGCACTATGTTTAGAGGGAAAAGAGAACACTACATCAACAACTTGTGGTTTCCTGTTTCCTCTTATATATATTTCAAAGTGTATCTCAAACAACTGCACAGGCTAAAAGCTCTAATAGCTAATATCGACTGTGACTATTGTCAAGCTTTCATATTTGTGGAAAAAACACTTTCTGGAAGCAAAAGGGGAAATTCACAGAAATGGTTATAAAATACGCACACAGTCATGTGGTATGGAAGTCTGGTCCAAACTTGTCACATAATCTCATTACATTTCGAATAATTATGATGGTTATCTTGGTATTACCAAGGGACATTTCTCTAATGTATGGTAATGATATTCTTCCAATCTAACAAAAACGAATGAGAAAGCTCATAAATTATTTGTCATCTTGACAAGAACTCAACCTATTCTACAAGATACATGTTTGGATAAGTTTCGGGGGAGATAAAACAAATCCATATTGTAAATGTTGTGGGGTTCGGTTTGCCTATTTGTTTGGGTTTTGTAATCTTTTATTCCTCGACCCTCCTCCACTTCCACAATAATGATAAAGGTATATAAGCCTTCAGCTTACAGCACAGAGCCCTATGGTGTTCATACAATCATGTGGCCCATGATTTGGCCTCAACAGAGGCGGATCCAGGAGGGGGTCCACTGAAGTGTGCACGCGCCGCCCCCAGAAATTTATTTGGCTTGTTTCTTCATTATATATTTTGTTTGTTGTTATGCCAGAGATTTTTGCGTCACTGTATGTCAACAACCCTCAAATAATGATAATAATATTGGATATTTCTATGGGCGCTCCAACTATTACCCCGGCTCTGCTGGGCAGCCGATTTCGGACATTGGTGCCGTGACGGGACTCGAACCGCGTACCCAGTGATCCACAGTCCAACGACTTACCCACTAGACCACAACACCTCTAAACAAGATGATCCTTGATTTCCCACTTTTAGAGAACAGGACCCCCTCCCTTCACAAACTCATGTAGGCGCCCCTGCTCCGTCTAATAAGAGCATGGATTTATCAACCAGTTCACGCGGTCGTTCGTAATTAAGTTTGCAGCTGGTGTCAATCCACTACCTCTCAATACGTTTCAGGAATGAAAACCCACCCGAAACATGTAGCGGGGTTATAGGTCATCTATCTGGCAGACGAATTGGCTTCTATTTTCAGGAAGGGTAACAATAATTTTCTTTATTTTAAATTTATTTTATCATCGGAGTGTACTCAGTAATTCAATGCATAAACCTATACACTCTAAAAACTAGATGCTAGATTCAATCTTTATATTGCAAGGTCCAGTCTGATCAATGAGCATAGCGTTGCATTCTGAAAAAGTGGTCCTTTTAAATGGGCCGAGGTGATTTAACAATTTAGTTTTTCGAGTGTTTGATAATATTAGCAGATTATCAATTGAAAAGGGGGAAATGTTCGCTCCGAGCCGAGGACCGAAGTATTTTTGCATTTTTCATAGATTTTTGGAAAACGCTGCATCAATTGCTCCCCTCCCCCACCCTTATAGGCCTATATAAGTCTGCATTATATAGGCAATACTCCGTATGTCAGGCAGACTTACTCACATTATCGAGGACTCGATCTATTGAAGAGGAAGGAATACAAACCTATGCAGGAAATCACGCAGGTTAGGAGAGATTGCGGTGTTCTACACCGTTTAAAAATGAAATACATCTATGAATCATAAAAGAAACGCGGCCAGGAATATGGAGATGACAAAACTTATCAAGAATAACATTAAGTTTAATCTTTCTTACATCCAAAATCAAGATGGGTGTGAAAAAGCACAAAACGCACCTCTCTCTTAGCCTATACTGGCAGGGCAAAATTTAATGCTGTATTTTACAATTAATAATCGGGAAGTTTGGAAATTTCCACCAAAGACCAAAAACACGTATAGATTGTCATACGTTACGTTCTTTTTATTCACATTGCTATATTGTCAATGTATGTACTTTGTTGACTATAGGGCCCCGCTCATAAGCTTAGCTTCTAAAGGGGTCTTTAAACCATTCATTTTATGATGTAGTCAAGTAATATATGTTGATTAATGTACTATTACCGGTCTCTTTTTTATGTAAAAGATTATATCATATTTTGTGTGGTTTTGAATAAAATGAACTTGAACTTGATATGAGTCTTTAATAATTGATTGTTTATCATAGGGAAACCTAAAATTAGCTAAAATCTAAAATTCAATGTGAAAATGAACTTAAATGGCAATAACTAGCAAAATAAAATACTGTTGGTACGTGGGAGGTACCATACACAGAGGACCCCCTCCTACCCATACCCCTCCTAAGAGATCGACTGCAATAATTATGTAAAGTTACATGACTTATCAAAAGTTTAGCCTCATGATCCCATCAACACCGGCCTCCCTTCCCTTATCCCCCTCCTAATTCTGGCAATTTAATAATTATAATAAAGATAGTAATAATAATAATAATAATAATAATGATAATGATAATATTAAAAACAATCACAATATTAAACATGATGATGGTACTGATAATGATAAGACGATTGCAAGTGGAAATACACTCTTTATACGAATTCCCTTAGGGATCATTTGGGTTCGAATCCACTCCAAAACATTGTCCTGGAATCCATTCCAAAGTAGTGGCCGATTCATTTTTTGGAGTCGAATCCATTTCTTTCTATTACTTCTTTCCCTTTAATTTCCACTCCAATGTGACGTAGTTCCGGGCTACTTTCCCATCTGTTGATTCTGTTCCAACATACGGAATTACTTAAATTTAAATCTCTCAAAGTTCATTGCTCAGGAGGGTCTATTCTTTTTAGAGGACCTATAATAACATAATATCTATGATGTATTTTGAGTAGTGCTCTAAGGGAGAAGTAACTTACGAGAAAAACAGAAATTAATTATATTTTTGTACACGGCAAATGGGAGAGTTATCCACGTCCTACGTCACAATCCACTGACCGAACTACCAATTTGAGATTCGCATAATATTTACTTAGTGATCTCATATTTCAAACATTCATAACTTCCTTATTATTGGTCCGATTCATGTCAAACTTTTGCCTTTCGGTTTCTATTTTCTCTATCCAACCCAACAAAGTGTTGGATTGCCCTTTAATTAATATGTCCCTTTTGCAGCCAATATCAAATTCTGTAGAACTTTGCAGGAATTCATGTATGTCCTATCTGTGAAATTTAAACATTAGCAGTGTCCTAGCAATAATTCAAATAATTCAAATTTGGCAAGGAAACCAGTTTATCTTCTAGACTTCACTGTCAAGACACTATTGAGTGACTGACTGACATGTTTTTTTTTGTTGGCAATAACATACATAAAATGATACATGAGCATTTGTCTACATCAATAACCTGCTAACTTGATATTAAATGGCCAAAATTAAACTGATTGAATTTTTGAGCAGCACAAAACGTACGACCATTATTTTGGTAAAAGGGTTTGAAAATCAGACTATTACTTGGGTAATTGCAAACACTTAAGTCGGTTCGACAACTACATACTCTAATGGTCGTTATTTTCCCACTGAAAGCCATTTTCAAGCCATTTCGTTCTGAGGGAAGTTCTAAATTAGTATTGTCCTTCAAATGCCGTTGGAATGACCTTTTCATTTTTGGGGCCTGCAAATGGGACATAGTACCTTTAAACAGATATGTTATAATGTAGCTTTGTTATTGTCTGCGTAATTTTTGTATAAAATGTTACTTATTATATTCCTTTTACTGTACTAACCCTAACCCTCTAACATGCAAACAAAATTCTGAAAAAACTCTCAAACCACAAAGATATTTATGGCACCCTCTTACAGTTAATTCTCCCTACCAATACCATTTTTGAATTTTCTCAACCGGTTTTCAATGAAAAAAGACATAAGACAGGCTTTTAAAATTCTTTCGATACTCAAATGTCAGAAATAGAGCCAACTCATTGCGTTGTGACGATCATAAAATCACTTAAAATGTAATGAAATTGTAATAATCAGATCAGTTTCCTTCAAACTTTCAGATTCCTATAGCATTGAAATCACTACCTTAGCAACATTATCTATGTTTCAAGTCCCTTTAAGTATCAAGTATGGCAATAAAATGAAACGAGCATATTAACCACTAACCAGGAAGAGAACTGAGTCAGCTGATTGACAATGACAATGTTTTTTTAAATTTCTTTAACGGCCCCCTGGGGCATGGAAGAAATACAGTTGAATAGTACAAATATAATGTTCAACAAATAATATTCATAAACAAATATTGAACAAAAAACACACACATAAAATCTTTATTTTAACAACAAGAAAATCTTTGAAACTTGGCAGCGAACAACAAACAAAATGAAGACAAGCTTTAGGATATACTTTTAAAAATACATGACACCCTATACATCTCAAGTGGCAGTACTAACACTACTATATACATTATACACTATGATAGTAAACGAAATGTTCTTTAACAGAATTGCATTGAATAACTGATGATAGGAGATACATCAAAATGTACATACCAGTCCGATCGTTCTCAGTATTATACTCGCAGTCACGTCAAGCAGTCATCAGCACCATCTAAAACTTCAAAATGTAGCCAAGAAGTTAACCCAACTTTAAAAAAGTGATGTTGTTGTTACTAGCAACACAATAACATTACTGGAGTTTATATACACTCCTATACATGGTACGGAGAATGAATAAAGTATAGTCCAAGCAAAATGTGGCATATTGCTATAAATGCTAGCAACAGGAAACTAGGTCCGCATACGACCATCAGTTTACCCAGTATACTGTACATAATCTCTGTACGCAAGGTTTAGGTGAAGTTTGTGTGGGTCAAAACGAGTAACAGATGTCAAATATTTCCGCTGACTAGGGACTCCTAGCATCTTCCTGAGCAGCTCGATCAGGAAACTGTTGTCATGATGCGGACAACCGAGACTCGGATGAAACCAGAGACTACTGTCTTGTGTGTGCGTATGATACGTGCGTGCACTATACCCTTGTCAGTCGTCGTTCGTAACTGTGTCTGTAAAATGAGACTACAGCAGGCTGCAACGGACACAGCCTGAAACTGCCAGATCTAGACTCCGCCGAAGGCTTTAGGAAATGTGGTAAAGAGTCAGATAAAGAGTCTGTCCTTGCAGACTAACCAAGTTCATGGTGCAACCGGTGCATGAGTGCGCATATTCTAGCTCAGCTAGTGTTTTCAACCGGGATACGATAGTTTCTAGGTGTGCCGCCAGGGGCGTCGCTAGACCTTTTTCAGTTGGGGGGGGGGGGGGTGTAGAGGCCAACGATTACCGACAAAACTAGCCACCAATTACCGACAAAATTAAATGTCCCAATATCTACAAATTTAACCCTATAAACCCGGGGCCAAAGGTAAAAATTGTTTTTCCTATGGAATATCTATAGTAATTGCGAATGCGCAAATGATCATTTTCCTCGACGACATACATATACGAATTATTTCGTCAACTTAGTCAACATCAAAGCTATATATTTAAATGCAGGTGCGGAGCTAGGATCTTATTTTAGGGAGGGGCGGTAAGGAGCAAGCGAATCACTTAAAGAGCGCACGAAGCGTGGGAGCTTAGACGTTTCCTTAAATTATTAGGAAAAGAAGACGATTTATTGTACCGATCTCGACTGTTAATCCTTGTCTGAATGAAGTCCCCCCCCCCCTCCCGCGCAAAGCGCGAAAGCTTTGACGTTTCATTAAATTATTATAAATGTAGACGATTTGCTGTACCGTTCTCGATGTTAATCCTTGTCTGAATTCAGTTTCTCCCCCTCCCGCGCAAAGCGCGGAAGCTTGCCTTTGACGTTTCATTAAATTATGAGAAAAAGCAGACGATTCGGTGTTCTGTTCTCGACTCTTAATCCTTATCTGAATTCTATTTTGCCCCTCCCGCGCGAAGCGCGGAAGTTTTGGCGTTTCATTAAATTATTAGAAAGTAGACGATTCGTTGAACCGTGCTCGACTCTTAATCCTTGTCTGAATTCAGTTTCTCCCCCAAAGCGCGGAAGCTTTAGACGTTTCATAAATTATTATTATGAGAAAAAGCAGACGATTCGGTGTACTGTTCTCGACTCTTAATCCTTATCTGAATTCATCTTAATCCTTAATTATTGAGCTCTATTTATCTGAATTCAGTTCCCCCCTCTTGCGCGAAGTGCGGAAGCTTTGACGTTTCCTTAAATTATGAGAGCAGAAAGAAGACGATTCGTTGAACCGTTCTCGACTCGTCTAAATGAAGTTTTCCTCTCCCGCGCAAAGCGTTTCATCAAAATATAGAGAAAGGAAAACGATTCGTTGTACTGTTCTCGAATCTTATTCTTAATCCTTATCTGAATTCAGTTTTTTCCCCTCTACGCGAATTGCGGAAGCTTAGACGTTTCCTCAAATTATTAGAGAAAGAAAACGATTTGTTGTACCGTTCTCGACTCGTCTAAATGAAGCTTTCCCCACCCGCGCAAAGCGCGGAAATTTTGGCGTTTCATCAAAATATAGAGAAAGCAAGACGATTCGTCGTACCGTTGTTGACTCTTAATCCTTGTTTGAATTAGTTCCCCCGAAAATTTTAAACCTCTGATTTCTTTAGCTGATATTAAAGGTAAGTGAAACTTCAAGAAAATACAAGTATTGTAGTTGTAGTCACTCTCGAAGTCGTCACAGCGGATAAAAAGTCACAGTTCGTAGGGACAAAAACTTGTTGGCCGACCGACAATATACATCTCACCGACTTCAGACTTCTGCATTGATATAGTACACGAAGATCGAGCAAGAATACCGACACAGCTGACCCGACACAGCAACATATTTACCCATGTCTTTCTTGCTTCCTTGACGAGACGACTCCACCCACAGCCCCCCCCCCTCCTTTTTTTGTTTACTCCCACTCCTCCTTTCTCAGGCTCTTACCTCCCCTCTTTCCTCTCTTCACCCCCGTTTCTTTTGTTTCCCTTTTCTCTTTTTCTTTTTTTCCCCCTTTTCTTCCTTTTCTTTCTTTTCCTTTCTTTCCTCTTCTCCTCTTTTTCTTTTTTCTCTTTCTTTCTTTTCTTTTCTTTTTTTCCCTTTCTCTCTTTTCTTTTCCTTTTCTTTTTTCTTTTCTTTCCCTTTCCCTCTCTTTTTTTCCTTCCCCCTTTTCTCTGTTTTACCGACAATATCCTGAGTGGTGGAGGGGTGTCGCACCCCCACATCCCCCCCTTTGGCGACGCCCCTGTGTGCCGCACGAGAGAAATGGATTTAAACACCTATTTTTGGATCCAACATGAAATAAACGTCAATTTTGCCGGCAATTTTGTGAAGGCAAAATATCAGAAACGGCTATGTATTTTCATGAAGAAAAATATTTTAAAGACAGTTAATTGTCTTTTTCCTCGCTCGCTTCGTTTGCTCGCAACATTTAGAAATAGATTAATTTTAGGCAGTGAAGTACCTGAATACCCACATAGTAGGGATTTTTAGATTTGCGTGGACTGATACGTGTGACGTCCATTCAAGGCAGTGCATTAAAGGTACTATGTCCCATTTGCAGGCCCAAAAAATGAAAAAGTTAAATTCCAACTGCATTTGAAAGATAATACTAATTTAGAACTTCCCTAAAAAAGGTGGGGCTTGAAAATGTCTTCAAGTGGGAAAATAACGACTATTAGTTGTCAAATCGACATTAGGGCTATAGAGCCCAAAAGTAATAGTCTTGATTTTCAGACAATTGTACCGAATGGTCATACGTTTTATGCTGCGCAAAGATTCAATCAGTTTAATCTTGGCCATCACAAGAAGTGGGTTATTGACCGGATGTAGACAAATGCTCATGTACCCTTTACAACTCTTTTCATGTATGTTATTACCAAAGAAGAAAAAAGCCAGTCGGTCACTCAATAGTGTCTGACAGTGAAGTCTAGCAAGTAAACGGGTTTCCTTGCATAATTTGAATATGAGGACACTGCTAACGTTTAAATTTCACAGATGGGACATACATGACATATTCATAATTCCTGCAAAGTTCTACAGCATTTGAGGTTGGCTGCAAAAGGGACATAGTACCTTTAAAAGGACGTCGATCGTAGCAATCCACGTTGTCGTTGTGCAAATCTAAAAGTCCATGTTAATACTAGTCAACGAGGTGCCAGAATATCTCTTTTGACAGCGAGGTGCCCGAATATCGTCACATTCTGGCAGCAAGGTGCCTGAATATATCTCATATTGTTGTTATATTGTTCGCTTCTTGCACTCGCTCAATTAACAGGATGATTCTGGACAACGAAATACCCAAATGTCCTTCATTCATCGATCGAGTTGACTGAAATCAGTGGCGTAATCAGTAGAAACTATTAGGGAGTCAAAACAAAATCCGCATCACCACCAATGAGCATAAAGCAGGGGCGGCGGTGCGTCTTCCAAAATAAGGGGGTCACAAATAAAAAATAAAAAAGGGCACTTTCTGGAGAAAAAAAATGACACCTATACAAAAGGGAAAATATTGTGTATACACTACCAGGGGTGACAACAATATTTGTTTTCTTTGGAGAATCATGAAAGCCAAAATTGGCTAGATGAGAATGATCCCCAAATAAATACTTAGCATAAATAAGATACGAACTTATTTCATATTAAAAAAAAAACATATTAAATACATACACAACAACAGAGGACAGAGGAAAGATAAAGATAACATGGTAAAGACAGTTACCGGAAGATAAGGAAGAGAGAGAAGATAAGAAGAAGTTACAACTTGAATATTAATTTTCGAGCGAGCGTAGCGAGCGAGCAAAAATTGAAAGATATGTGAGGTCTCAGTGCGAAAATTACATAAAGAAGACAAAAAATAAACCCTGATGAGTATTAAGCACAATCTAATGAAGAAAGACTGAAAAATTCTTTGATAAGTAACATAATAACTTTTACAAATGCGACCGAGCGTAGTGAGCGAATTTTAGGGGAAATGATAGAAAAAGGGGCTCTTAGTTGCCTTGAATTAGGGGTGCATGTTATGAAGAAAGGAAAAGTAGACACAAAGGGAAAAGGACAGTCATTAGAAGAACAAAATGTGCTCGTGTCAAAGTAAAAAGGGCAATTATCAGAGGTGAAAATGGCACTTCTTGCACCTTAAATGGACACTCAACAGAATTTTTTTAAAGGCACTTGTGAGAATGGAAATAAGGAATCTGTTGAAGGAAAAGGGCACCTATCAGATTTTAATAGGTTCATTTATCTGATGTGAAAAGGGTTCGAAAGGGGGGGGGGGGGCTCATATAAAAGGGAAAATGAAAAGGGACACGTATCGGAAGGAAACATGGTGCTTATTAGAACGCCGAAGGAAAAGGGGCAAGTGTCTAAATACTAGGAGCACTTATCAGAGGTGAAAAATGGCATTTAAGAGAAAGGAAAAGGGTTCTTATTACGAAGGAAAAAGTTCACTTATTGAAAAGGAAAAAGAGCACGAGTCAATGTAAGGGGTCAAGGGGCATTTGTTTTATGTAAAAATGAGCACTTTGGGGGAGCCTGAAAAGTGCCCCCGCCCTCACCAGGAGTGCCGATTGTGGCGTAATGGGCAAAAGTGAGGGAAAAATCCGGAAAATCATGTCGTTTCAGCACGATTGTAAATTACTGGTATTGAATTAGAAATAAACCATGTTTTAATAATGTATGTGGGAGTCGACTCCCCCCCCCCCCCCCCCATCAGAACGAAAGTGACTGAAATATGTATTTTGTCAACTTATTTAGAGCGTTTCTGACAAAATATAGTTTTTAGAAAGAGACGGGCCCCCACCCCTGGCAATAACAAAGAGGTTTTAAAAAGATGGTTACCACAAATTTAGCTAAAACGATTTTATTTTTAGTGAATAGGGGAATTCGGTCACAGGAAACTTTACCGCAGACCAATGCATGCATCTCTTAGTACGTTCAATATTATTAGCGAATCCAAAAGCATATATATATATTTTTTTTAATTAACTGAAACAAAATTGATTGACGCAATCAAGAAACTTCTTTTGCTGAGTGTGAGAATTGAGATATGTTGTTATAGGCCTGTATTTTGAAAACTTGAGGAGCTACTTTAAGAAGCTCTGATTCAATCGGAAGGAAATACTGACCCACGCTCAAGACAAATATAGTATAATCTTTACGAACCGCCGGGGTCACGTGTGGCTGCAGGGGCGGATTTAGTCCGACATTCATGAAACTATCATTATTATGCTTTTTTGTGTTCCTTTTTATTTGAAAAGAAAAGGGGAAAAATTGTAAATAGCGTTACAAGTAATTTGATTAATTTTCATCCCTATATTGTATTTCAAAAGAGACAAACAGTAGTATGTTAATTTGTATCATTCCCGGTTATTGGTATATATATATATATATACCTTAACACTTTACACCCAATTATCTATGTTACACTATCATTTTGAAATTCGTTATCCAATGTATAAACAAATTGAGAATGATCCTATGTTTGGATTGAAATCGATACAATTTGAATTTGCAACCATGTACCCAGTGGCGGATTCAGGGGGGGGGGGGCGGGGCCCCACCCCTGCCAAAAAAAAGTAGAAAAAAAGATCATCTTTTTTCTACTTTTTTCATGGTAATCACAATTTTATCTTGAAAAAAAAAGACGGGCTCCCACCCCTTGCAAAAAATAAGTTTAATTGTTTTTTAGAGCTCACTACACCCCCACGCTTAAGTGCCGCTTAATGTTTTTCTCACGAATTGCCCCCCCCCCCCTCCCTCGCCGCCGGTTATGCCCGAATTTTAATATTCGGGCAGCGGGATGCCTGAACAGTCTCATAATATACAGGTAAGAGGTCCGTTATATTCGTTTCTTTATATTCGTGAGTTTTGTGTACACAGTGCCCTCAAGTACACCCAAAAGTGCCCCTTGTTTACATAAAAAAGTGCACACTTTTACTTTGAAATGTGCCCCTTTTCCTTCGTAAGAAGTGCAATACCAATTTTGATAATTACCCCCTTTCACCTCTGATAAGTGCCCTTTTTTATTTTGACACGTGCCCATTTTCATTATAATAAGCCCCCTTTTTTCTTGTGATAAGTTCTTCCGATTTCTTTCGATAATAAAAGCCTTTCCCCTACTCATAAATGCCCCTTTTCACCTTTTATAAATGCCCCCTTTCCTTTGCAATAAGTGTCACTTTTCCATTCCAATAAATGCCTCTTTTCTCTGGTGGGGGCCTCTTTTCAGGGGCGTTCATAGAGCCGCCATGTTTTCAAGTACACTCAACGTGCCCCTTGTTTACATAGAAAAGGGGCCCCATTTTACTTTAAAATATCCCCCTTTTCCTTTGTAAGAGGTGTGCTACCCGTCGTAATAAGTGCCCCTTTTCACATGTTGTAAGTGCCCCATTTTTTAATTTTTTTTTATACGTACCCATTTTCATTTCTAGTTATCCCCCTTTTATAAGTGCTCCAAATATTTTCGTTCATAAAAGACCTTCCCTTATTCATAAATGCTCCCTGTTCACCTTTTATAAATGCTCCTGTTGAAATCTGATTGCTGCCCCTTTTCCTTCGACAAGTGCCCCTATTCCATTCTCATATATGTCTTTATTCATCACTGGTGGGAAGAACCTCTGATAAATGCCCTTTTTTTACTTCCACGTGCTCCTTGTTTATTTGAATAGTGTTTTTTGCCTTTTGATGCCCCTTTTTTCTTTTCCCGTAAAATGCGACCCTATTTTAAAGCGACTTAGAGCAACTTTTTATTGAAAGCTCGCTCGCTACCCTCGCTTGGTTTAAATTTGATATACTCATGTTAATTACAAAACGTCTATTCATTCTTTCATAATTAGATTGTTCTTAAAACCCATCAGGATTATTTACCCGGTGTCCTCTTGATAAGATGCAATTTTTCGCACTGCGACCTCAAAAATTAATATTCAGATCTTCCCATCCAATTGCAAATCATGAAGCTTATGCGGTATCTGGACCATGAATAAAGAAAAACATATATTCAAAGGGGAAGGGCCACAAATGGAAAAGGGGCACTTGTCAAAGTAAAACGGGTTCCTATCAGATTTGAATAGGGGGAATTATCAGAGGTGAACGGGGAGGGGAGGGTACTTCTCGCACCTAAAAAGGGGCACTCACAAGAGATGAAATGGGGCAATTATTAGAAAGGAAAAGGGGGCACGTGTCATAATAAAAGAGGTCACTTATCAGAGGTGAAAAGGGGCACTTATTGGAAGTGGGAGGAGCACTTCTCACATTAAGAGGGTAACAGATTTGAATAGGGGCAACTATCAGAGGTATTAAGGGGCACGGACGCCTATAATACACGTACATTTATTTACAAAAATGGGGGGGGGGGGGGCACTGTGCAATCCCTGCCCCCGGGAGCGCCGCCTCTGTCCTCCACATTTTGATGTTGTGCCCCGGTTCTGCATATTAGGCCCAAAACTGCAAACTTGAAGTCACGGTTTTGATGCGCCATCCTTTCCTGCATACTGTCATGTTTTTGGTTTCGATCTAATTCCTGTGAGAAACGCTCTAATACTGGCTGATTCTCTCTATGCTGAAATTATGCTAATTCTACACTAGCGCCATCTACTGGTTGCAGTACAAAAGGTTTTAATGATGTGAGGATGCTCGATTGCATCATAGACCTACCACCACTGACCTCTAATGATTACATTCGTCCAAAATATTTCTTTGTATCTTATTCCATGAAGAAGCCATGATGTCCGACCATCACCGCCCCAACCATTAAACAGTCTCAATATCTACTAAGCAAGTCGGAAAATAATCTGGAATTTGTGTGTGTGTGTGTTTTTTTGTGGGGGGGGGGGGCGTTTCAAGTTTGTAACTCTAAGGTAGATCTAGACTAGTTAATGTTATTAATATTGTTTACGTCAACGAAATAAATGTACTTTGCTCCCGACTTTTCTGAACTTTTTTCTCGAGAAAGATCAAGACACAAACTAGGCGCATGCCTACTTGTTTATTCGTTAAGAAACTGAGGTTTTGGGGGTAAACTATTTCGAGGTATTTGTTTATGAATATTCATAGGTCAATCAGAAAGAGTATAAATTCGTAGTGATTTTGTTAACAATTTTGGTTTGAAATAATTCATCAAAGAAAATTTGAAAAAAATATTATATATTAAATATAAATAAATATTATCAATATATAATATTTGATATTCAAAGTAAATAATATTTACAAAAAAAGAAAAAATGGATTAATTATTAATATTGGCAACCTGGTCTGAGCCTTCAATTATGTATTCATCTATACTGCACGATTTCGCGCTCGTTTTCATGCTAGCTGCTGCACTGCACTACACATGTTTACGTGCAGCAACCGCGCCAAACCACGCGAATCAATCGTGCACATATTCCCTGTAATAGATGGATGAGGCTATAGTCATAAAAGTCTATTTTATTTTTAGACAGAGGTAAGAGAACAGAATTATTTGTTTTCAATTATGTAAGTAAATCTTGATGTATTAAATGATATGTTTCCATAAAATATTAGTTCTGATTAGTGACAAAAATGATCTCGAACTTGATTTGATGTGCATGTTTTCCGTCTCGTCTCGCTCTCTATTTCGTGTGCATACATCGCGCGTCGCCATGTATCATGTGTATGTTTAGTTTGTATGTGTGCAGTAGAGTAGGCCTAGATTCGCTTATAACAGTTGACATGATGTTTGAGTTGAGCTGAGTGAAATGAATAGGAAGCCTCACCCCAAGAAATAACTTTACTTAGAATCTTTTCTGATTTTCATTTTGTTCTTGCCCATTAATCTACAAGTACAACGATTTCCCACCAAACTAGGCAAAGCTGTGTGTACAAATGAGAGAGAGACATGATTGATATTGATAAAGCAAGAATATTGTACTTGTAGAGTCTGTTATTTCTAGATTTACAGACAGTTTCTCAGCACGAAATCACATCACATGGGCATCGCCATTTTCTTGATTCATGTATATAATAATATGAAGTCGTTCACCAAGTAAATGTATTCAAATGTATGGATGCTTCCTTCCCAGGTGTGTGTGGTGATGAAGCATTTCATTCACCTGCCATTAATGTACAGTACCAAGGGCGTCGATCCGAGCTTGAGCATGGGAGGCACACAATAACTTTTTTTTTTTGCCCGATTCGTCAGGAAATATTTAGCTGCGAATTAGCCAGCCAGTAAATAAGCAGGGGGCTGGGGTTAAAAGCACAATTAGATTTTTTTTTTCTTCTCCCCAATTCTTGAGGAATTATTTAGCGGCGAATCAGCCAGCCAGTGAATAGCGAGCTTTCGATTTTAGGCACCCGATGTCGGCTACTACGCGTGACGTCATATTTATCCCCTGCGCATGCGTGAGCTTCTGGGCCCACGTTCCCTTCCAAATCACGCGACGGGAGTCGGGGGTAATTTCCGTGAATCCCCGTCGTCGTGAAAACGTCAACGTGAGTGTAGTTTCATCACAGGTTCTTTTATGTTATTCTTTGTTTTTACTATTCTATTATTTCCTCTTGCTATCACCTTTTCTTATGTTATTCTTCGTTTAATCATTCTATCACTTTCTCTTTCTGTCTTTCCTTATGTTATTCTTTGTTTCTTCCTTCTATCACCTTCTATTATGCTATTCTTTGTTTTTTATCATTCTATCACTTTCTGTCTTTCCTTATGTTATTCTTTGTTTCTTCCTTCTATCACCTTCTCTTATGTTATTCTTTGTTTTATCATTCTATCACTTCCCCTTTCTATCTTACCTCATGTTATTCTTTGTTACTTCCTTTTTTCACTTTCTTTTATGTTATTCTTTGTTTTTATCATTCTATCACTTCCTCTTTCTATCTTGTACCTTATGTTATTCTTTGTTTTTTTAATGATTCAAGCACTTTCTCTTTTTTTAAAATGTTATTCTTTGTTTCTTCCTTCTATTACCTTCTCTTATGTTATTCTTTGTTTTTATTATTTCCTCTTCCTATCCTTTGTTTATTCTTCTGTCATCTTTTCTATGTTGTTTTCTAAAATCATTTTAATTTCTATTTCTGTCATCGTCATGTTATTCTTCGTATCAGATTTTCGCACACTGTGCATTTATCACCTGATCTCAAAAATTGGTCACGTGACCGACGAAAGCACGTTTGTGAAAAATAGTAAGCACTGCCGCGAAGGGAACGGATGTGAGCTGCGCGACGTCTCCATGCTCCAGTACCTCGTAGTAGCCGACGTCGGGTGCCTAAATCGAAAGCTCGCTAATAAGGGGGGGGGGGAAGGGGGTATGAGACCCTATTTTTTTTGGGGGGGGGGGTTGGCCAATTCGTGAGATTTTGTGTACAAAATCGTTGCTCCCTGGTGGTCCCTCTTCCTTTCTGACAAAACATGAGGGGGACATTTGATATGATGTCCCCCTTAGGATAGGAAAAATCGTGGTGGGGGGGGGGGGGGGGACATGTCCCCCTGGCCCCCCCCCCCACGATTTACCAACTCTGAATTTTGAACCTTCATGTCACAATTTATGACCCCAACTCGATGGAATGACCCATATATACAATGAGACAAAAAAAATCATATTAACCTGAGCCATTAGGATCGCTGTGTGTTCATCTTCCGGCATCCGACGTCTGTCGACCGTGAACTTTTTACATTTTCAACTTCTTCTCCAAGATGCATTGCCAAATTTTAACCAAACTTGATGAGAATCATCCTTAGGCAAGGAAGATCTGAAGTTGTTCAAATAGGGGATGTACCCACAAGGGGGGCCTGGAGGCAGTAAGTGCACATTTTCTTTTTCTGGAAAACCCTTAGCTGGATTCTTATCAAAATTTGTAGGGATCATCTAAAGTTGTTCAAATGTGGCATATGCCCCCAAGGGGGGGGGGGGGGCTTAGGGGCAGCATCCCCTTAACTGTCCCTATGGCAATAATTATACATATTTTTTCTTTTTCTTCAAAATGTATGTCTAGATTTTCACTAAACCTACTTGATACTAGGAAGCATTCCTCAGTAGGTCTAAGTCGGTACAGTCGGTCACACCGAATCCCGACCGTCGCTGTCGGGTCCCGGTTTCGTTTTTCGGAAACCGAAAATATTGAAATATGTAAGAAATTGCAGTATTGCACAGCACTAAAATTATTCCATCTTAAAACTCTTTGAGTATTTAATTATCACCAATCATTTTCTAGCTCATCCTGAATCAATCCGAACTGTCGATAAAAATATGGGTTGCAAAGCAGTTCGCGGCATGGGATTGTCGTTGCCAGCTCAGCTAGCTACAGTACTAGCCGGCCAGGCCGGGTCTCGGCAGGATGAATAAAATATTAATGTTATCATGATAAAACGGCTTTCTAAAAAGTTACTCCTCGAATATCACAATTTCTGTGGCATTTCTTGAACGACTATTGAATTCTTTGTCCAAATTTTGTATCTGATTACCGGTATGGTAATTTTGAGCAGTAGTTTTCTTTCCAATTGCTTTGAATGATTTCTTGTAACGATCACATATATTTGTTTGGGTTCGTCTCTGCACGCATTATAGCCAATGAAGTGAACTTCGCATTCTTTCTGTGATTAGTCTGAACTTGCCTTGCAACAGCTATCAGTATCGAAACTTGTGATTACTAGGTGATTACCAAGTAAATTTTCAGCATTTTAAAAGAAAAAATAAGAGGAAAATATTAATTTTTTCTATTTATTCAATCAGTATGTTGTAAAGAGGAATTTTATTGAAAGCCGTTTTATTATTCTTACATTAATATTTTTTGACACGATTTATTCATCCTACATGAATCAAAATGGCGGCTCGAACGTTGTCTTTCTATTTTTGCCCGATTTTTAAAACTTTTAGAGGCATGATAACGGCACTAAACATCGCCAATCATGGATGAAAATAATGTCAAATGGGAGAAAATAGCCAAGGTACGCATGTGTTGATTTATTTGATTGATAAAAAAGGTCACTTTTAAGGGACATACTGATGACATGCGCTATTCATAGAGGCAAGTGACAGATCCTGCTAGCTGATTTCGGGACACCAGGTCCCGATCGTTGCAAGGCCGTCGGGACCCGGTTTATAAAAGTCCCAACATGACTCACGCCTATTTCTCAGGCAGGGGGATATTAAATAGTTCTGAAGGGCTCCTAATCCATCCAGGGGAGGGGGCTTGGGAGTAGCCCCCCCCCCCCCCTCCGGTGCCCCTGTCGCTTTTATTATGTGATCTGCTACATGGCATTAATATAAGGATTACCTGTTGATTTCTTCTGAATGATTGCTTAATGCCAAAATCTTACGAGGCTGATTCCTTATATTCTGGAATAGCAATCTCTTTGGGATGTGATTGTCCCTATGTGACGTCATATGTACACCATTTTGTAAAATCATATTATCTTCAATATGAAACTTCTTCAAGATGAAATGAACAATGGATCAATGTTCATTTCTGCATCAAACTTGATATGCATGAACTTTAGGTCATGTGTTACCCTACTGTTACTACTATGCATGACTGCCCTCTAATGTACCTGTATGCATTCATCAAAGTTTGAATATGCTCCAAATGCTCAACTTCAAAGTTTTTTTATTTTTCAGGTCATTACAACAATTTTTCAAAATTATGTACTGCCTTAATGAATGCTAAAAATTAGATTTTTCTTGTATTTGGATTCCTTATAAGAATGCAATTTTTTAAAAGTCATTTCCCTTCAATATCCACCATCCAAACAGCAATGTAAGCATGCCAAACTTTAAATGCACAAACACGCTAATCTTGAAAAAATTGTTCCATGGATTTGAATCTAGGATATCTCTTCAAAATGCCTGGAACCTTCATTTTTCATTTCATATTCTGATAGATCATGAAGTGTGTATATAATGTTACTTCAAGATGTTGATATGGATTATGGCTACCGGTAAACTTTGTAAGAATCATTTTTATGTGAAAAAGACCTTAATTTTTATGCCTCCGTTACGAAGTAGCCGGAGGCATTATGTTTTCGGGTTGTCCGTCCGTCCGTACGTAATGTACGTCCGTACGTACGTACGTCCGTACGTACGTACGTCCGTCCGTCCGTACGTCCCGTTCTCGTGATCGCGTTATCTGAAGAACCGATTGATGGATTCCTGCCAAACTTTGGTCATGTATGTATCTTGCAGAGCCGATGAACTGATTAGATTTTGGGGTCACGAGGTCAAAGGTCAAAGGTCACAGGGCTCATTATGTATGCAAAAACAGCTCGTGATCGCGTTATCTCAAGAACCGATTGATGGATTCCTGCCAAACATTGGTCATGTATGTATCTTGCAGAGCCGATGAACTGATTAGATTTTGGGGTCACGAGGTCAAAGGTCAAAGGTCACATGGCTCATTATGTATGCAAAAACAGCTCGTGATCGCGTTATCTCAAGAACCAATTGATGGATTCCTGCCAAACTTACGTCATGTATGTTACTT